TTGAGAGAAAGGAATGGCATTAAGAGTATGCTTAGGGTGAGAAGAAGAATAGAGGAGATAAGAGTGAGAATCAGTAGGCTTATAATGCACAGTAGTGCTGAGATGAATGTCAGTAATACTGACTTGAATGTCAAGAAAAGTGACTGACCTGTCACTGACTTCAGAAGTGAATTCTAAGGCAGGATGAAAAGAATTCACATAAGAAATGAAAGAGTCTAAATCGTCACGAGAACACGAGGTAGCACCAATACAATCGTGAATATAGCGGCCAAAAAACTCAGGTTTAGGACCGGTATATTGCTGAAAGATAAGGTTTTCAATGTAACCAACAAACAAATTAGCATAACTAGGGCCCATTTTGGTTCCCATAGCAACGCCATTTATCTGCTTGAAAAACTGATCACCAAAAGAAAAACAGTCAAGAGTGAGAACAAGTTCGGCTAAGCGTAATAAAGTAGGAGTACTARGCTGAAGGACAGAACGACGAAAAGACCATTTCCAGCAGCATTTGGAGCGGTTATAAGTGTAGCTGGCTAGTTGAGCTCCGAGGACGACGTGGGGCATAAACGCACGGCTAGCATATTTCCCAACAATAAAAAAATATGAGATTACTTGATTCTTGTGTATTTTTGTGTATTCTTGTGTATTTTTTACATTAAAATGTCTCCTGAGTATTGAACTATAAGTTGATTCGCTTCAGTGCTATCATCTATTTAAGTACAAATTAGTGACTAATTGTGAAGAACTACTTAGTTTTTATTTCACGGGTTAGAGTCGTTCTCATTAACCCGTGGAACACACCTTAGCGTTTTATTCTATACTACACTTTATTACACTTTCTCTGTTCTTTTATCAACGAGTATCACAAATATTTGCATACGAATTTCTTCCTATTGTTAGTTTATCCATGAGACTTGAACTCGGAGAGAAAGAACACAATACCCATGTATTGAAGGAGTTGTACAAGTGATTCCTATTGCTGCGAATTGCACAGCAGATATCATAATTGCATCTATTGAAAACCAAATATTGCTATTGCTACCAAGAAATGTATTTCTAGTTGCCGACAACGCTAGCGTCCACAATGAGCAAAGACTCTGTGCAATTCTACGTCAAAGAAACACTACACTTGTTAGTAAATTACCGGCGTATGCGTATGACCTGAATTGAAATGATGGGTATTTGGTCAAGCTAGGGCTATTGCACGTTCTACTCCTGGATTTATTGCTCAAAATTCCATGCTTGCTATTGTATATGCTTTTGCACAGATAAGCTCTCTAAATGTCAGGAAATTCTATCAACGTTCGTAGAAAATCGCAGTGTAGTAGCTTAGGAACAAATAAATTGCAGAAATTGTAATTTTGCAGTTGTTTCCTTAATAAATATGAATTTGAAATTTTATGTGGTGGGCAGAGTATTTAACCAATATAGCACTATTACACCCTCATACACTTTGTCTCTCCTTTCCTATTACACCCTCATACACTTTGTCTCTCCTTTACTATTACACCCTCATACACTTGGTCTCTCCTT